GGGGCGGTAGCTTGTACATACCGCACCTAAGTCCTGATTGTACTTAACGTGTATGGACGCATGAATATTCATACTGCGATGTTTTCAAATACTATCAGTCGATGCCATTGCTGCGACAATGGTAAATTGAGCCGTATTTAGTGGTGTTAGCATTGAGTTTCGTTTGACAAGTACATACGTGGTACCATTACGTTTTGTATTTATCATGCACATTGTGTATTTAAGTATTTGTTTGTGTAAGATTACGTGTGCGACGTGTCGGCATGAGCTGTGCGCTGTGTGCCGCTATGTGCCGCCCGGTCTACACAACACTTAACTTTTACTTTCGTTGTCCCTGTTCTATGTCTATGTTCCTCACCATTGTCATATTATATGCAAATTATTTATGACAAAGATGAATAAATTTTACGCCTTGTTTACTTTTGTATATCGTTTTGCACATCGTTATGGAAATGTCGAATACATTGAACTGATGACATTGTCTTCGTTCTCCATTCCCACATGTGAGATTTTAACACTTCATGTTATTAACAAATCATATAATTCGGTATGCAACACAAATACAACTGCGTATGTGTATGTGTATGGGCAACGGTCCATTTACTATTTCAGCGATATCAGGCAATTGCTCGGTTGTACCTTATAATATATATTAAAGAAAATTCCTATTTTTATGTGACTTACTTTAAACTTAAAATATGAAAGTGTTATTAGAATGTATTACTAGAGTTTTGTCTCCAGAAAAATAATGTTGAAAATGTGTATACAATATTGTTGAATTTAAATATGTGTATTGCAGCTGGGACGCGCACACGAGCAGATCATCCAGCCGCTCGAGAGATTCCGCAAGGATCACATTGGAGCCGTCAAGGTAAATATAATACATACAGTCACGTAGGCGTCGCCAAGTTCATAACATAAGTAAACATATCTAAACGCTGGATTGTAGGAGTATTCTTGTACAAGCGTTATATATTAGATAGATTTTTAATGAATGAATCCGTGGCATTAGCTTAGGGAGTTGCAAGCTTGGTAGCTGCAATTGTCTTGATTGTTTTGAATTGGTGGCACACAGTACGCGTTGCACGCGGCACGCGGCACGCGGCGTCTGTACCGTCGCGTCGCAATCCGTTCAGTTAACGCTGATTGATTGCCATCAGATTACTCATTTAGTTTATTGACGCCTTTCATTGAGCCAGTTTGCATTTATTACATTCCATCGCTGCTTTCTTGCGTGAAGACATTTTATATTTGTGTTTGTACAATTTGTATGATAAGGTAATTCTTTGTTATATTTGAGAAATGAGGTAATTGAAATTCTTCACACGTTGCAGGAGGGTAAGAAGAAATTCGACAAGAAGACTGCAAAATTCTGCCAGAGCCAGGAGCGCACGCTATCGCTCTCCACTAAGAAGCCTGAAGCCGTTTTCCAAGAGGTGGGTGTTGTTCTTCTATCAAATCGCATGATAAGCTTTGGGATAATATTTCATTTGTTAAACTGGATTTTAAAATAAGATAAATGTATCGCGTTGCAGGCGGACGCGGCGATGGACATGGCGGAGCGCGACTTCTGCCAGGCCTCGCTGGAGTACGTGTTCCAGCTGCAGGCGGTGCAGGAGCGCAAGAAGTTCGAGCTGGTGGAGACGCTGCTGGGCTTCGTGTTCGGCTGGTGGACGTTCCACCACACCGCGCACGACGTGCACGCCGACGCCGAGCCCCTCGTGCGCGACCTGCAGCTCAGGATACAGCGGGTACCACAACATCTACACTCCACTCCCACATAACGGGAAATATTGCGTTATCGCACCCGTGTTCTAGTTATATTTAAATTATATATTCTCATTCAGGCAAGGCGGGCAGGTGTAATACCATCATAAGATGGGAAAATATCTGAAATGATATCTAGATAAGTTGTTGACACAGTATATGAAAGCAGGTCGTGCTCGCGCCCCAGCTCGGCGCACACTGCGGACCGTAGGTGGAGTGTGTGTGTCTGTCTATGTGTGTGTGTGTGTGTGTGAGGATTTTTTTTGATCACTAATTACTATAAAGTTTAACTGAATTTTCTACTAAGAATTAAAAACGCTCTAACACAAATCTTATTAATAATCCTGCAAGCAAGAGTGCCATAACAGTGTGCGTGTGTTATGTGCGCGTGTTGCATGCTGCGTGACGTGACGTGACGTGACGTGACGTGAGGTGAGGTGAGGTGACGTGACTTGTGCCCTGGTTGCAGACGCGCAGCAACTTCGAGGAGACCAGCAAGCAGACCGAGTCGCTCATGAAGAAGATGATGGAGGTGCGCCAGATGGTGAGTTACTTTCACACTGTATGTTAATTATATAAATAATGTTATGATATTATAATGTATGTATGTATGTATATATGTTACAGAACAAAGAGGAGGGCATATCGGAGGAGCAGGGCGGCGTCTCGCGCGCCGGATACCTCTTCCTCATGGAGAAGAGTGGGTTTATACTTTCATACAACTGATCTGATATGAAGATGTTGTTACAAATGTATGTGTATGTATGTATGTATGTATGTGCAGAGGCGTTCGGCACCACGTGGAGCAAGCAGTACTGCACGTACGAGAAGGGCTCGCGGCTGCTCTCCCTCATGCCATACAACCAGATCAACGTCAAAACGGTGAGATGTAAGCGTTGTATACTTCTTTTCAAACAAATTATATGTCATTGATTCACATTCGATTTGGCATTTTTAAAATCAATGTTAAGTTACCAAATGAATAGAAAATAAAAATAGCAATGGGTCGTATCTAAAGTTGAGGGATGTCGAGTGTTAGGAGTTGAATATATATTAATTAGAATATGTGTGTGCAGAGCGGGCCGGTGGAGAGCGTGTGTGTGTGCGGGGCGCGCGCTGCGAGCGAGGCGGAGCGCCGGTTCTGCTGGGAGGCGGTGCCGGGCGAGCGAGACCGCGCCCCCCTCACGCTGCAGGCCCTCGGCGACCGGGACCGCGCCGCCTGGCTGCGCGCACTCGACGCCGCGCCCCCACCCCCACCCCCACACCCCCACCCACACCCACTCCGCCCACATCGACCCAAGGTACTACATTTACTCATTCAATTCTGATAATAATAACTCATCCCAAATCATTATACTAATAACAATACTTTCACTAAACGTTAAGGGCCGCATCAAAGGCCGCCGTATGATCGTGTTATGTGTATTGGGTGACAGGGGGAGGGCGATGGTGAAGGCGAGGCGGGCTGCGAGCTGAACGAGGCGGGCTTCACGTTCGTGCGCCGCATCATTGCCATACTGGAAGCGCGCGGTCTCGAGGAGCAGGGCCTATACAGGTTACTACGCAAATTATAATTTTTGTAAACTATGAATTAATACCAAATAATCAATGTAAAGATAATGTATAATAACTGTGAGCGATTTGTCGGAGCAGGGTGGCGGGCGTGGCGTCGAAGGTGGCGCGGCTGGTGGGCGGGGCGGCGGGCGGGGCGGCGTGCGGCGCGGGCGGCGAGCTGGCCGAGCCCGCGGAGTGCGAGAGCAAGACGCTCACCTCCGCGCTGAAGAGCTTCCTGCGCGCGCTGCCCGAGCCGCTGCTCACGCGCCGCCTGCACGACCAGTTCCTCGCCGCCGCCAGTCAGTACTGCACTTTATTATGTGCCATCTTCACATAGCCCGACTTTATGCCGTGTGTAAGATGTGTCGTGTGCGTCGCAGAGCGGGAGCGGCGCGAGGAGCGGGTGGCGGCTCTGCACGCGCTGCTGCTGGCGCTGCCCGCTGACAACCGCCGCATGCTGCGCCTCGTGCTAAGACATCTGCGCAAGTATGTACAGACACGCACAATTTTTAAATATTTATCGTTATTTATGACTGGTTTACGGTAGTTTTTGTGTAAATGTGTGATGGATTACGTTGTTATGGCAGCGTGGCGGCGAAGAGCGACAAGAACCTGATGACGGTGTCTAACCTGGCGGTGTGCTTCGGGCCGACGTTGCTGCGGCCGGAGCGAGAGACGGTCGCCTCCATCCTCGAGCTCAAGTTCTGCAACGTGCTCGTA